TTTCCGGGTGGGTGCTGGGGCTGCCAGCCTGGTGGATGAATCTGGGCTGGTTTTAGCCCAAACCTGCCATGGCAAGCGGTAGCGGGGATGGTGCAAAGGGCCGGTGTGGGGTTCATCTCTCCCCTCTTCCCGCAGGACCTGAAGCAGCTGCAGTTTCTCCATCTGTCCGATAACCAGCTGGATTACATCCCAGCGCCCCTGCCCCAGAGCCTGCGCTCCCTGCACCTCCAGGTGAGATGAGCCTGGACCCAGGCTTCTCTGTACCTGAGTCCAGCACACCCCACCACCTCCTCCTCTTCCTCCTCATCCCTCTGTATCTGACCTTGCCCTTTTCCTCCCTGGCCAGAACAACAACATCCAGACCATGCAGGAGGACACGTTCTGCGACAGCCATGACCACAGCCAGGTCCGCAGGGCGCTGGAGGACATCCGCCTGGACGGCAACCCCATCAACCTCAGCCTCTTCCCCAACGCCTACTTCTGCCTGCCCCGCCTGCCCACGGGACGCTTCTTCTGAGCCCCACGGCCCCAGTGGGGCAAGCATCCCCAGATCCCCCTGTGCCCCTACCCCTGGACCCTGCTGCCCCATGGAAAATGTGGGGTTAGGGCAGATGTATTTAACCCTGGTGCGAGCTGAGCCTCCATGTAAGGGTGAACTCAGTTCTGGGGCAGCGGAGGGGCAGCTTGAATAAAATAAAGACTTTAAAAACGCATTCAGTGTCTTGTTCTCAACAGCGAGGGCAGCAGAAAACCCTCGCCCAGCCCCAGCCCAGCAGCTGCAGTGTGAACCATACCGGTTTGCAGAAGCAGATGCTTCCCCATGTCCCACTTCTTCCCCAATTCTCTACTGGGGCCTCTGTGTCTGTTTTCGGGGTTTCCAGGAGCTGCATTGCTCTGGAGAGGTGATGCTTCAGACACATCAGGTTTGGCCTGCAGGACCAGGCTGTCCCCTCAGCTGTCCCCAGCTCCATCAGGTGTCTCTGGAGCAGTGTCACACAGCCAGATGTGAGCTGTGGCCACAGCTGGGCAGTCCCTGTGTGCTCCAAAAGAAGGTGCAATAGGAAACCTTAGCGCAGGGACACTGGAGTCCTCCGTCACCTCACCCCAGACTCACTCCAGCCCCCGCAGTTCTGGGGGGACCCTGACACCCACTGGGACTGTCCCAGCGCCAAGTGGGGTCCCCAGCATGAGCTCTGCCCAGAGGCAGGGGTGTCCCTGCAGTTTGGGTCTGCTACAGCTGCAGAGAAAGCCTGGAGCAGCACCAGAGCCTGTGACAGCCCTGGGTCCAGCAGGAAAGAGTCACTCGGAGGCAGGGAAAATATCTCACATCATCCCAGATTTCAACACCCAAAAAGTGCTGCCCAGTGGTGAGATATTTTAAATATAATGTATTCATCTTCTATATTTTTATACACATGTAACAAACACGCGTACCGTGAGAGGGATGACACATCCCTGGAGAATCCAAAATCCTGAACTGAAACCACTGAGCTCAGCCCACATCCTCCAGGCCCGGGGAGGCAAACTGAGGCGGCTGGAGAAAACCTCGCAGGATGATGCAGCTCCTCATCCACGGCCACACTGCAAATGCTGCAGGGCGCTGGTGCCTGTGAGCCGGTCTCGTCGGCACAGCACGGGCACGAGCGTGGTGGTGACACGGAGCACGTGTGTGTGTGTGCACACCACATCTCTCCTTTTTCACACAAAACCCAACTCTGACACGGGTTACGTTCACCCAAAAAGCCAGAGACCTCGGTAAAGGGGAATCTGGAGCCGATCCAGCCTTTCCTTTCAGGCGAGATCTAAAACGCCAGGATTTATCAGCGCTGTTGTCATGTCAGCGTTGAAACAGCCTTATCTATCTATCCCCTGTCTGTCTCTCCCCATATCTCTCCTCCTTCCCCATCCATCCTCCTGACACCTCCGCACCGTCCTTTACCCCCCTCGCTGATCTCATCTGCTCCCATGGGATGAGCTATCCCTGCGAGCCAGGCTCAGCTCCGATGGGGTGGCATTGGCCAACTTCATCCCAACGCCCAGCCCTTCCCATCCCAATCCCCGGTCCTTCGCGATCGTCCCACTAGATGGCAAGGCAGAGTGGTGGGAAAACGCCTGACCTTAACTCCGGGCTCCAAACCGCCCCCCGCTGCTGTTTTACCTCCCTTCTGCGGGGGTTTTTGGCTCTCAGGGGCATCCCCATGCAGCTGGGGAATAGCCCAGGTGCTGGCTGTTGGCAGAGGAGGGATTAAAAGGAGCTGCAGAGAGGAGAAGGGTTTGCTTAGTGTGGGAGGAGAGTGAGGTAGGTGTAGGGGGATGTTTGGGCATAAGGAAGCTGCTGGCTTTGCAGAAGCCAAACTTTTCTAAAAGAATTGAGGTGACTCTGAAGGGGGCTTTGCTGGGGGAGAGCAGAGATTTGGGGTGCTGCTGTGTTTTATGTGGTATTCGGGTCTCCTTGTACCCCTGGGGAGGAGGGGGTGGGACGGGCAGCAGGTCTGTGTCTTTCTCAAAGCCCCAGAGGGCGTCAGGCTGGGGCTGATTTTGGGAGGGGGCTCAGCCCTGCTGCTCTGCTGTGCAGTTATTAACTGTGCTCTCATGTCCTTGCTGCTGCCGAGGAGGAGGAAAGGAACCAGTGCCTGTCTTTGTGGCATGGCACAACCATGCCCCTTCCCACCCCGTGAAGTTTTCTGGCCCCTCCATGGGGGTCAGTGCCCCCCAGCTCTTCCCCAGCCGGGCTGCATAGACCCTGCCCTGGAGCCCTCCCCGGGCTGGAGCTGGCAGCGGGCATTGCAGGGGCTCTGCTGAGGACCTGGGACAATCCTGCTCCAGCTCAGCCTCCTCAGCAACGTGTCCAGGACCTGGCTACCTCCTCGGTCACCCTTCATGCCCCACGTTCCTTAGGCTGTGGCCAGGCAGCGGGGAGCCCTGGCTCCTCTCCATCCTGTGCTGTCTGCAGCTCAACCCAGCCGCTGCTTTCGCCGCCGCCGAGGTCACCGCCTGCCCTCGGGGACCCGTCCGCGTTTTAAAGCCATTTCTGCGGCGGAGGCTTTATAGAAACTGCACAGCCTGGTGCATGCATATATGCATGTAAGGGACTGCGTGTCTCTGCGGCGACACATGTGCTGCTCCCGCCAGCCTGCCACGGGCATCGTCTGCGCCCGGTTAACGGGGACAGCATGGGAGCAGCCCTGCGGGCACACGGGGCCGGGAGGCAGCGGAGGAGGGAGGGGAGCAGCCGGAGAGAGGAATTAGCACAGGGCCTGTGTTAAAAGCTGTGAGCTGGAGCTGTGCAAAGGCAAAGTGTCGCTCTGATCTCGGGAGCGTTTGCTGAATAATAGCAGGAGCTGCGGGGCTTCAAAGTAGTCTCTGATGGGAAGCGGTGGCAGCCCGGTTGCTGGAGACAGTTAAATGATGCGGGATGGGGGGAGCAGCCCCGGTCGGAGGGGATGGATGAGACAAGTGGATGCTCCCAGACTGTTTTGTACGTGCGAGGAGCTGCGTCCCACTCGGTACAGGGTGTGCAGGCACGGACAGCGAGGAGCAGGCTGACTCCAGGCATTAACCACCTTCCTCTCATCCTCCCCGGCTCCATCCATGGCTGCCCTTGCCCCGGGCACACCGCAGGGGCTCTGCAGGAGCTGGGCAGGGGGCTCACGTCCTGCCCGTCCCTCCCGGTCCCCTCCGTCCCTCCTCCCTCACCCGGAGAGCGTTTCAGTGTAATCCGTGCCTCTCTCCTCCCTCTGTCTCTGCTGCTCAAGGTCACCTTTCCTCGCCTGGGCTGGATTTTCACATATTGATTGCTTGGCTCTAACAGCCGCCGTCTCGGTGAGCTCCCGAGCTCACGCCAGCTCAGCATCTTGCCGCTCTCTGGGAGCAGCATCTCCATATGGGCCCCCCCTCCTCCTCCATCCTGCCCTCTCCCTCCTCCCAGCCTGGGCCATGCATCATTAACCAGCACCAAAACAGAGACGGGAAGGTCTTCAAGCCCTGGAGAGCAGCAGCATTCTGCCTCCTCTGCCTCTCTGTCTCCGGAGGAGCGGGACATGAGCACGCTTCTTCTCTTGGGTTGATTTAGGAGGCGCTGGGGCAGCGTCTGGCATCCTTGCCAGACTCGGCGTGTCTGTGAGCTGCCTCCATCCTCTGCTCAGACTTCCTCCTCCAGGTCCTCGTCCCTGCTGGGGAATGAGCTCCTCTCCCATCACCATGCCCATCCCTCTTCCCGCTGCCCCCTCCTCTCCCGGGTTTTTCCTCTGCTCCCCTCCCACCAGCATGACCAGGAACTCCTGGTGCCACACTGGGCCATGTTCCTTGGCCACCACCCCAGGACAGAGCCATCCTTTTCAGTCCTTTTGCAGCTTCTCAGCGCAGGTCTGGGGGGATCGAGTCAGGAGCAGAGTGGTGGTGGCTGAGCTTAGGGACCCAAAATGGGAATCAGCATCAGGAGGAGGAGGAGAATGGAAGCTTTCAACCCCTCCTGGACCTGGGCGAGCTGGGAAGAGGCCACAGAGATAATGCAGGTCTCCTTGTCCAGGACAGTGGCCATGTCCCTGCCAGCTCTGTCCCCCACATGCACCCAGGGCAGGCAACCAGTGGATTTATTGGCCAAGTGCAAAATCAATGGCAGGATGGAAAAAGGCCGCTGAACTGTGGATGCTGACAAGCTCCTGGCCTCCTCCGGGCTAGAAATCACCCTTAAATGCTGCTGGGGAGGAAGCGCTGTGGCCCAGCTCGCTCAGCGAGCGAGGCAGGGATGATAACAGCTTTATTTATAGCACTTAACTGGCTGTTGGCTCAAGGCACAGATTTGTGCTTAGCGTGCGATCGTTTCGGGCGGCTGTTTGTGCAGCTCATGGCTGGGGCGCTCGCTCAGCCTCACCAAAGCCCTTGGCAAGCTCCCATTGCCTGCCACTGGGGCAGGACTTTGCCCAGGTTTGATGTGTCCCATTCCCCATCCCCAACCCAAGCAACTGGCCCAGGACCAGGCATCCCCAGACTGAGCAGAAACTCATTTTCCTGCCTGTATTTCTACAGCATCACATCTGGAGCTATCCCACTCGCCGCCTTAGGGTGCGGGAGGTTGTACATCCCTAACACTAATGGAGCAATCGATAGTGGCCACCCGGGCAGAGCCGTGTCGCTGCTTCGTTTCCAGCTCTGTCCTTGTTCTCGGAAGGATCCCAGTGCTGGGATTCATTAGGTGGGAGCTGCGAAGGCTCTGGAGATGAAAGCGCTGCTCATGAATTATCACTGGGGTGCAGACAGCTTCCCCAGGCCTGTCAGGGAAACAAAACAATGGAAATAGAGGGGGGAAAAAAGGAAAAATAACTGCTTGGGCTTTTCCTCTCTCCATTTTCCACTTCACCACTGCAAAAGGGAGGAGGAAGAACGCAGCAAAAGGGAGAGAAAGAAGAAAACCCATTCTTTCCCTCTTTCCCCCAAGTTGTGAATGTTTAGCATAAAAATAACCTGTGGGAAATCGGCCCCCTCCTTGCAGCCACCTGTGGGGCTCCTCAAGGCTGG